TGGGACCCAGCTAATGTCGTGGTTAGCCATTCGTGGCCTGTTTTGGAATGCACAAAGTCCCCTACCTGGCGCGCCAACTGTCGGTGTTTCGAACAAACACCGGCTAGTAAATTTATATTTATGCGCGTTAGGTCCGGATGGTGCGCTAGGACACAAGGTTTATACTGGTTCAGGCTAAATGTCCCTACGTCCAGTCTGTTATTTCTCGTGTTATTAGCACCAAAAATGGTTCGTAGTAGGGGATACAAACGGTCGAGAGAGGGACTGGTCCTAGGTCTCTGATGAAAGGATCGAAAGGATGCCAAAAGCCTGGTGGCGGCCTGGCTATGTGCGTGATGTGTCGTGTGTGTGTGGAACCGAACTCTCTATGAGTTTGTCTGTGTGTGAGTTGATCCCCCCTTTAGCGGGGTGTCCCGCCCTCCCTTTTATAGACCAAGGGGAGCAGGGTTTACATGTCGGAGAAAGAAAAAACCAGAGGCCAAGTAGTCCTTCCGAAGGCGCTGGGTCTTCCTTTTCCTCCAAGCCAGCCTTGCTGATACGGCCAGCTGGTGTTAGAGGCTAGCACGTTCGCGGGGTGACTGTGTGCTGATGACGCTGCACCTTTACTTGATCTGCAAGTGGTCACGTCCCGTCCCGCCCCCGCGGGCGGCGTGTCGGGCTGAGGTGTTGTCCCAATGCCCTATGGGGAGCGGACGGTGCGGTGACCGCTCGTTCGTCGCTGTAGAGGATGGGAGTCCCCTCTTAGACTGTAGTGGTTTGTCATATGTTGGTGTTCGGTTCCTCACCCGAGGGCTGAAGGCGGCGCCTACAACACTGTAGGGCGAAAAGCACGCGCCCACAACACTATTCAGCCCCTGCCATGCCTGGAAGGGTCTAAAGTGCCCGTCCCGTCGTGCCCTGACAGTACTTTCCCGTAGTGGCACAGGGCATGGTCCTCGATGCCGCGGTTGACCCGAGCATCTTGTCTTACCCTGTGTCCGTCATCACGAAGGAGTGGGGTGCAGTTGTCAGGTGAGACGGTGCCCAACCCTTGGTCGTCGGACGAGGCGGAGCCTAGCCTTTAGCCGTCGGACGAGGCATCCGTCGGACGAGGTGGAGCCCGCCCTCGGGGATCGGGCGAGGCGGAGTCTATCCCTCGGCGGTCGGGCGAGGCGGAGTCTTGGACTTCAGCCGTCGGGTGAGGGGGAGCCTAGCCCTCGAGGGTCGGGCGAGGCTGAACCGATCTTCCGTCGTTCGGGCAAGAAATGCAGAAGTGTTCTCGTCTGGCCGGAAGTATCAGCGTGCGGCGGTTACCAGTCCCACCCCCTTGGGTACCCCGGTATTAGGCCCCCGACAGTTACGCAGTGGTAATGAGGACACAAAATGATACAGTAGTATAACAGAGTTACGCAGTGTTCTAGTCTTAGGTGATTACTAAATGTTGATCAAGGTACCAGAGAGGACACAAAATGATACAGTAGTATAACAGAGTGTTGGAGGTACAGATCCCGTTGGTCGTTTTAATTTTTCTTCTAAGGGTCTTTTGTTTGCCAAATGATATTGTGCGGTGCCCGAGTTTTTGTGCTGTTTCTTCGGCTGGTTCCGGCTTCCTAGTTCCTCGTCTTCTGCAAGGAGTACTGCTGTTCCAAACCAAACACCACCGAAGCATGTCATTTTTAGTATCTGTTGCACTTAAGCTCTCGTGTAGATTACTCCTCAATTTCCCCTCAATGTACCGTTTTGGTGTTTTGCCAGATTTTATGTCAGTGTTGTGCTACTTTACATGTTGGAATGACACTGATCAGAGTAGTACCTGCCACAAAACATGATCCAGGAAAATGAGCATGATGACCAGAGATGCAATGTGTAAGACACACTAGTATCATCTGAGTTAGCAAGTTAATTTCGATGGCATGCTAATTTAGTTCATTTATCCACCTCAATGAATTAAGTATTAGTACATAATTATAATTGATTTTAGCAAGTTTTCGAACAAATTACCCAAAACTAGTAGTGTAACTTTCATCCCTAGTGAAGGTTGACAAACATTCTGTTAGAATCCGATGCCCCTAGTTATGCACAATAGTGATTGGATCTTTGAAAGGATATTGCGAGTACTCCCTACCTGAATAAATCTATTCCAAGAGTTCTCTAAGTCCAACTCTTTTTGAAAAGTAGAAAATATTTGTGATACCATAAATGAGCACATTTAGAAAAAAATAGTTTAAGGTATATCTAATGGTATTAATTTAGTGTCTTAAATATTGACATTCTTTTCTATAAATTAACGAACGATATTGATTCAATCGTCCAGTTAAACGCACCGGTACTCTTGCATTTGTATGTGACCAGGTTTTTGAAATGGGAGTTTTGTTGTATAATGTAACTATATGTTATACCACGGAGTTTAAAGAGAAGGGTTGTCAAAACTTGAAGTGACAATTTTTTAGTTTTATTTACAAGGACTGCTTAATAAAGGTTTATAAAAAACATGAAGCGTCAAAGAGGCCAATTCGGATTGATTCTCGAAAATCAACTTGCCATGTTATTCAAAATAATAGTGAAACGGCCTCTAGGTTGAGTAAAAACCGGGGCCAATTCACTAGTATATGTATCATGAGGTAAAAGTAGCAATAGGAGCATCAAACATTCTTTCATCTAACTCATCAAATTTAGACATAAGCTTATTCATAACATGAAAAAGAGGGGAATCTTCGGCTATTCCACTGGCTTTTAGCTCAGATCTGGTTGTAGACTTGACGATGCTCTCCTGACCCATTAGACCAGTGAACTTGTCATTGCGACTGTTGTTCCACATCCTGATAGAGGGGACCAATACTGCAATCGAGCTTTTGGGCTAGGTTACGCAGTGGTAATGAGAACACAAGAAAGATAGATTGAAACCAACAAATTGGCTTGGTTAGAAAGATCGACTATAAGATATAATCGAACCAATCGTCCCCAGCGGAGTTGCCAAAAGTATGTTCATGCCGAGTTGGGTCACCACACCGGTAAGGAGCTAGAATGCTTGATGTAGGGCCTAGTCGACTTTTAGGTCGGTCGGCGCCTAGGGTTTGGCTGCACCCAGACCTTGTGCCTCCAGCGATGAACACGATACGCAAGACATATCGCTGGAGGAGCCTCACCGGGAGAGCGATACGCAAGACATGCCGGTGAGGTCTCTTGAGACCCAAAACCCCACATGCCCGGGAGGGACCCCGTCAGGGCATGCGGCGGCTATGGGTTGCCCTAGCTGGCCTGACCGCTCTAGAGCTTCATCGTCATCAATCCTCTAGCCATGCATCACCGACGAAGAATGAGGAAAAGAGATATATGGAAAAGAGAGGGTAAAAGGTGTAGATGTGTTTTTGACAATTGTGTGTTGTATATCTCGATTGGCCATGATCCTCCAATATATATATAGGGGGTGCTCTTATCCCACTAGAAAAACCTTTCCAAGGTATATTTTTTTTAAGTTCCCCACGAGTTTGAAATAGTTCGGATCGCAAACCAAAAGACCAGATCTGAACAATGTCTTTTATTAGATCTATCGAAAGTTCCTACGCTTATCGAAACTTTCGACCGTTAGAACTTCCGACATAGGGATGACTCCGAGCACCTAGGTGGAGTGTTTTAGATTTCTTAGAAGTTCCTCCGTCGGAACTTCCGACACTTGGAACTTCCAACACTAAACATCTTCCTGAGGGCATAAACTCGCTCGTCCGGACTCCGAATTAGATGTTCCATATATTTTTTTTATCATCTCGACGAGAGAAACGCAATGGTGAGGTCCATTTAGCATTTTGATAACTTAAAAAATAGACAAATTTAGTTGTCAACAGCATGGTACACTGATAGGTTTTAGGTTTATGAAAAAAATCGATTTTCTTTACAATGAGAGATCATTATATCTCGATGTCAACTATTAAAATAATTATTCTCTGCATCTACACGCCTATAGAGATGTTTTATTGTTATTTGATTTTTTCAGTTCATTTTTTATGTTGGCTTTACAAGTTATTATTGAGCATTCTCAGTAATATGGTGCTTAAGAATGTTTTTTTTTTTAACTGGTGCGTGAGTCTGTTTGCTAGTGTCAGTTTCTTGTTTTGTTTTTGGGCGGATGTGGAGAAAGTCGCTTTATCGTTCAGCTGTGCTTTTTTTTCCAGATCTTACCCTTTGTGCTTCTCTCTCCTCCTTCTTGCTCCTTCGGTCCTTCCTGCTTCTCTTTCCTTCCTGTTTCACGAGGCGTCGTCACCGTTCCTGTTCTGCGCCGCCTGCGCACGCGCCCCGGCTGTCGAGGCGCCACCTGCATACGCGCGCCGACTATCCAGGCGTCGCGCCGTCCTCCGCACGTCGCCTGTGTGTCTCCGCTACTGTCGTGTCCCATGTGTCTCTGTTGGTGCTTTGTTACTGGCCTCTCGCGTCGGCGCTCTCCCTGTGCTCTGTGTGCTGGTCGCTACCACCACCTCTGTGGCCTGTTGTTGCCGCGGGGTTATCTTCCTCTTCGCCTCTGGCGGCCCTGTGATTGTGTCCTCCCTGCCTTCTCCTTCCTCTGCATGGTGCCCAACTGACGGTTCCTCTGTCCTTGCTGTTCTGCGCCCTTCAAGTGCTCGATGAAATGTGCAAAAGGAGTCTGCTCTGCCTTCATGTGTTTCTAGGCCATCCAGCGCACAACACTCTGAAAAAAAAAACCTCTCCGGTCGCTTCTGCTGCCACGAGCTGGGCCTTCGCCGCGTGCTCCTTACCTGCCACCGGTGCCGTTGTGACGCAGTGTGCTGCCTCCCCTACCTGCCACTGCCACTGCTACTGCTACTGCTAGAGGCTGGTTCGTCCCGACCCCTCCTCACTCGTGCGTCATTGGTTTTAGTTGCTTGCTGTTTTTCTTTAAAAAAAATTGTCGCTTCCTGTTGGCTCTTCGAGTTCCATCTTCTATAATTGCATCCGTTCCTCTCTTTGGCAAGTGTCAGCCACAGAAGCAAATCATCTCGCGGGAATCACAGTTGATTTGTTGATTCGGTATGTCATTTGCCGGCGTATCTTTCATCGGCGGTGACGGACTGTCGACGCGATCTACCCCAGCCACCACCGTCACCGACAGCGGCTACCACCTGCTTGTGGTCGACGGGTACTCGCGCACCAAAGAGATCACCCAGAACGGCGACGAGATAGAATCTCCCCCTTTCAGAGTCGGCGGCCATCGTTGGCGTATCCGGTACTACCCCAACGGCATAGACTCCGAGGTGGCTGACTACATATCCCTTTATCTCTTACTTGATGATGATAACGTCGCGGAGACGACTGTGAAGGTGCAGTTTGATTTCAGTTTCGTTGACAAGGCTGAGAAGCAACTTCCATCAAACATCCATGAAATCGAAGTGACTAACTTCAGTAAAGAGAGCTTGTCTTGGGGTTACGATGATTTCATGAAAAGAGATAAACTGGAGAAATCAGCACATCTCAAGGACGACAGTCTCACCATAAAGTGCGACATCGTGGTCAGCAAGGATGTTGATGTCGATAGAACTGGAGCCAATACTGCCCCTTTTGTGGTGGTGCCAGCATCTGACATGAACCAACATCTCAGCAGTCTACTTCAGTCTATAGAGGGGTCCGATGTGACCTTCGAGATCAGCGGAGAGATCTTTGCTACACACCGGTGCATACTCGCCTGCAGGTCGACGGTCTTCAAGGGGCAGCTTCTTGGCTCCATGAATGAGGGCGCTGCGGCAGGTGTCGTACGCATAGACGACATGGAGGCACGAGTGTTCAAGCTCCTCCTTGGGTTCATTTACAGTGACTCAGTGCAAGAGATGGAGGAAGAAGAAGACGATGTCATGTGGCAGCACTTGCTTGTAGCGGCAGATAGGTATGATCTCCTGAGGCTGAGGCTGATCTGTGAACAGAAGCTGTGCACATACATCAGCATGACTACAGGGGCAACGATTCTTGCGCTAGCTGAGCGGCACCATGGCCGTGGGCTCAAGGATGCTTGCTTCGACTTCCTTATTAGGGCTCATGCCAATCTGCAGGAGGTAATGGTGCTTGGCGGCCTGGACCACCTAGCCAGCACCTGTCCTTTAGTCCTCAAAGAGCTCATTGCCCAGCTTGTGTCACCTAATAAGAAGGCTAGGATTGATGTCAACACAGCATTCGTCGTGGTGCCGGCATCTGATATGCACCAGCATTTCACTCGCCTTCTCTAGTCTGGTGAGGGCACCGATGTCATATTCGAGGTCAGCGGAGAGAAGCTACATGCACACCGCTGCGTGCTTGCAGCTAGATGAAAGCTCTAGTTTGGTTTTGGTGAATTGATGAAACCCTAAGTGATAATCTAGTTTATCAAGTCATCATGAGATAGGTAGCACATTCCAAGTGGTGAAGCAAATGAAGATCATGACATGATGATGGCGATGCCATGGTGATGAAAGTGCTTGGACTTAAAAAGAAGAAATAGAAAAACAAAAGGCTCAAGACAAAGGTATAAGTGGTAAGAGTCATTTTTTTATCAAGACACTTAGTGAGTGTGATCACATTTAGGATCGATAGCCGGACAATTAAGAGGGGTGAAACTAATATCGAAATACGGTTATCAAAGTGCCACTAGATGCTTTAACTCATTGCATATGCATTTAGAATCTAGTGGAGTGCTAACACCCTTGAAAATGTTTGTGAAAATATGCTAACACATATGTGCACAAGGTGATACACTTGGTGGTTGGCATATTTGAGCAAGGGTAAGAAATTTCACCGGTGGAGTGTCCGCCCGTAGAGTGCGGACAGTCCGACGGTGTCACCGGCGTCCTATACAGAAAAGACAGGATTTCACAGAGTGACCGGACGCTGGGTCACTTTATGACCGAACGCTAGATGAGTGCGTCTGGTCCTGCTGACGTGGCAGTGCACAGAGGAGACAGTGTGTGACCGGACGCTGGGTGAGTCCGGTAGGGCTTGATCGGACACGTCCGGTCACGAGTGGAGGCTTACTAGAAATGACCGGACGCTGGGGTTCTGCGTCCGATCATGATCTAACTGACGCGTTTAGTCGCAGCTGGAACCTTACTGTAAGTGACAGGATGCTGGGGTCCTACGTCCGGTCGTGGCACTATGCTGCGTCCGGTCATCACTTACCGTTGGGATCGGGCGCTCAGTATTTGACGAGAGGGATGACGTGGCAGCCATCCGTTGACCGGACGCTGGCCAGGGTGCGTCCGGTCGATCGGACCGGAGCGTCCGATCACCCCGAGTTGTGCCCAGTGAAGGGGTCTTTGGTTGTAAATGCTATATCTTGAAGAAAGACACTAGATTGGGCAAGTTTGATAAGAAATGTGATGAAGGATTCCTACTTGGTTACTCCACTACAAGCAAAGCATATAGAGTTTGGAATTTGGATAGTGGTACTCTTGAGATTAGTTCATGATGTTGAATTTGATGAAACAAAGAGTTTATAAGAAGAGAATGAGAACTTGGAAGATGTTAGAGGCATTTAACTTTCAAATGCCATGAAGAACATGGATGTTGGTGAATTGAGGCCTAAACCAGTGAATGATGATGAAGATGATCAAGTGCAAGTGCTCTCTATCTCAAATGTGCAAGATGATACAAATCAAGGTAGTACAAGTGGCTCTCATGATAATGAACAAAATCAAGTGGCTAGTACATCATCTCAACCCAATGATCAAGCAAGTACAAGCAATCAAGTTTCAATGCTCCAACCAACCAATATTGCAAGGGATCATCCATTGGACACTATAATTTGTGATATTTCTAGAGGTGTGCAAACTAGATCAAGATTGGCTTTATTTTTTGAGTATTTCTTATTTGTGTCATCCATTGAACCAAAGAAGATAGATAAAGCATTGAAGGATGTTGATTGGGTGAATGCTATGCATGAAGAATTAAATAACTTCATAAGAAATTAAGTATAAGAATTAGTAGAGAGATCAAAGGGACACAATGTGATTGGAACCAAATGGTTCTTTAGAAACAAGCAAGATCAAATGGGATAGTAGTAAGGAACAAAGCAAGATTGATAGCACAAGGATATACACAAGTTGAAGGTCTTGACTTTAGAGAAACATATGCCCCGGTTAGCAAGATTAGAAGCAATTAGAATCTTGCTAACCTATGTTTGTGCCCACAACATCAAGCTCTATCAAATTGATGTTAAGAGTGCATTTCTCAATGGTTACATCAATGAAGAAGTATATGTTAAGCAACCTCCCGGTTTTGAAGATGACAAGAAGCCCGACCATGTGTATAAGTTGAAGAAGGCATTGTATGACTTGAAGCAAGCACCTAGAGCATGGTATGAGAGATTGAGGGACTTCCTACTCTCTAAAGGGTTCATAATGGACAAATTTGACACCACTATTTTCATCAAGAAGATTGAAAAAGATTTATTTGTGTTGCAAATCTATGTTGATGACATCATATTTGGATCAAACAATCAAGACTTTTGTGAAGAATTTAGAAAGATGATGGCTAATGAGTTTGAAATATTCATGATTAGGGAGTTAAGCTACTTACTTGGTCTTCAAATCAAGCAATTGAAGAATGGTATATTTGTGAGTTAAGACAAGTATATCATGGACATGGTCAAGAAGTTTGGCATGAGTGATAGCAAAGCTATTAGTACACCAATGGAAACAAATGACAACTTAGATACTGATGCAAGTGACAATATGGTGGATCAAAAATTGTATCGGTCTATGATTGGAAGCCTACTCTATGTGACCACATCAAGGTCGGATGTCATGTTTAGTGTATGCATGTGTGTAAGATTTTAAGCCTCACCAAGAGAAAGTCATTTGAAGGCTATAAAAAGAATATTGAGGTTGAAGCATACACAAAAATATTGGTTTGTGATATCCCAAAAGAGCAAAATTTGAGCTAGTTGGTTACTCCGACTTGGATTATGCGGGATGTAAGGTTGAAAGGAAGAGCACCTCGGACACATGTCAATTATTGGGAAGATCACTTGTTTTATGGTCATCAAAGAAGCAAAATAGTGTTGTATTATCAACCGTCGAAGTCGAATATATATCCGCCGGTAGTTATTGTGCACAAGTACTTTGAATGAAGGCTACTTTGAGTGACTTTGGAATCAAGTTTAAGAAAGTGTCATTGCTATATGTCAATGAGAGTGCAATCAAGTTGACCAACAATCCGGTTCAACATACAAGAACAATGCATAGTGATGTCCGCCACCATTTCATAAGAGATCATCAACAAAAAGGGGACATTTGCATTAAGAGTATAGGCACCGAAGATCAGCTTGCCGATATATTCACCAAGCCATTGAATGAGAAAATATTTTACAAGCTAAGGAATGAGTTGAACATATTGGATTTCTCAAATATGTGTTGATGCACCCCCCACTCATATGACATGCCTTTCCTTCGAGCAATCCAAGGTAAAAGTTGATTGGTATGGCATACATCCTTGTTAAGGACATGTGTAGTGCATCTAGACATCTTTCACATTTAATAGGCTCATTTATGAAAATCAAATGATTTTGATGATTATATGGTACCACTATTGCTTCTATACTTATTTTGATCTAGTGGTAGCATATGACATGTTTGTGGGCTTGTAAACCTAGTGTTTAATCTAGAAAATGAGTTCTAAGTGTTTAACTCAACATGGTACAAGATAACCCTTATTTGTAGGTGTGAAGAAGCTTATTCTTGGATCAAACCGAGTTAAATATCTTTGGTAAATGATCTAGATTGGACCAAAATTGAGAAATTGATCCTCACCCCATTGATTGATATTGATAAATCTCAACCTATCCATATTTTGAATATTTGTGGTTATTGATGACAAAGGGGGAGAAAAACAAAGATATTAGTGATATTAGTACTATGGGGAGAAAAACAAAGATATTATTGTACTAAGATAGTGAAAAAACAACAAAAGGGAGAATTTAATATAGGGGGAGAGATATGACAAAGGAAAATGATCAATTAAAATTTTAAGCACACAAGTAGGGGGAGCAAGCTCATGAACTTGTATGGTGCATTTGAATGTGCATTTCATATGTTTGCTTGCATGGCACAAGTTTTAAATTTAAATATCCATGCTTGTGTGGTGTATGCTAGTTGTAGGTTTGAATGATGAAATAAAAATTTAGCATGTATAGATTATCTAGTGATTTCATTTTCAAGTGGTATCGAGCTAACCATGGTGCTAAGGATGGTATAATGGTGCACTCCAATTGATATCATGCTTCAAAGATCCATCTTTTATACCTTAGCATCATTTGGTAGACATTGTCTCCTATATTTCCTATCTAAGCATATGTGCAAGCTTCAATCCAAACTCTTAGCACATATGTAGGGGAAGCAATTGCTACCATATAGAGTTCATGAAACTTGTTCATATCCTTTTACACATAGTAAATATGTTTGGACAAGCAACATTGATTCAATTGAATTTCAATTCATATATTTATGAAAGGATTATCATTAATTATCAAAAGGGGGAGATTGAAAGCTCTAGTTTGGTTTTGGTGAATTTATGAAATCCTAAGTGCTAACCTAGTTTATCAAGTGATCATGAGATAGATAGCATATTCCAAGTGGTGAAGCAAATGAAGATCATGACATGAAGATGGCGATGCCATGGTGATGAAAGTGCTTGGACTTGAAAAGAAGAAAGAGAAAAACAAAAGGCTCAAGACAAAGGTATAAGTGGTAAGAGTCATTTTTGTTTTTTTATCAAGATACTTAGTGAGTGTGATCACATTTAGGATCAATAGCCGTATTATTAAGAGGGGTGAAACTAATATCAAAATGCGGTTATCAAAGTGCCACTAGATGCTCTAACTCATTGCATATGCATTTAGAATCTAGTGGAGTGCTAACACCCTCAAAAATATTTGTGAAAATATGTTAACACATATGTGCACAAGGTGATACACTTGGTGGTTGGCATATTTGAGCAAGGGTAAGAAATTTCACGGTGGAGTGTCCACCCGTAGAGTGCGGACAGTCCGATGGTGTCACCGGCGTCCTATATAGAAAAGACAGGATTTCACAGAGTGACCGGACGCTGGGTCACTTTATGACCGGACGCTAGATGAGTGCGTCCGGTCCTGCTGACGTGGCAGTGCACAAAGGAGACAGTGTGTGACCGGACGTTGGGTGAGTCCGGTAGGGCTTGATCGGACACGTCCGGTCGCGAGTGGAGGCTTACTAGAAAT